AATAATATAAATAATATAAATAATTATTAATAATATAAATAATATAAATAATATAAATAATTATTAATAATATAAATAATTATTTATTTAATAATATTATATATACCTTATATAATTATTTATTATTATAGATACAAAAACTAAAATAAAGGAAAAAAAAAAGGAGAAAAAGAAATAAATAAAATAAAATAAAATAAAATAAATAAATAAATAAATAAATAAATAAATAAATAAATAAAATAAATATGTATATATATACATATGTGTGTATGTATTTAGGTATGCATTTTGTATATATTTAACAATATTATCTTCGTTATTTACGATTATATTTTTTTTTCTTTCCCTTAAATTATCCTTAATGAATAAACAAATAATAAATAATAATATAAATAATAATAATATAAATAATAATAATATAAATAATAATAATATAAATATAAATAATAATGATGTATGGAGGGGTACAGCTCCTTTTATTTATTTTCTTCTTTTTCTTTTTATTCTTCTTATTGATCAAACTAAATTCATCATTGAATCCAAAAAAAGAATTCTCTTCTGGAAATTAAAGGTATTTATTTATTTATTTATTTATTTATTTATTTATTTATTTTATTTATTTATTTATTTATTTATTTATTTATTTTATTTATTTATTTGTTTTATTTATTTATTTTATTTATTTATTTTGTTTGTTTGTTTATTTTGTTTGTTTATTTGTTTGTTTGTTTTATTTATGTTTTGTTGTATTTTATTCATTGCTTCTCCTGTGTTTCTTATATTCTCCCCCTCTCCTCTCCCTCTCCCTCTTCTTATATATTAATAATATTAATAATAATATAAATAATAATAATAATAAGATTAAATAAATATAAATAATAATATTAATATTATTATTATTATTGTGTCTTATTTGTTAGTAATTATTGTCTATGCCTCTTCTTTTCTTATGTTAATTCTTCTTTCTTAGTATTATCTTTTTCTTGTCTGTAATATAATTACCACTAAATAAATAAAATAAGATAAAATAAAATAAATAAATAAATGTGCCATTTTATTTATTTATATATTTATTTATTTATTAATTTGTGGTGTACAGACAGCTGATGATCGTTTAGATCTATTAGAAGATCAAATATTTAATAAACAAAAAAGAAAAAGAATTAATTTACCATCTACTCCTCTTGAATGTGTAATTAAAAATCTAGATCTAGTAAGTATTTATTTATTTATTTATTTATTTATTTATTTTATTTATTTATTTATTTTATTTATTTTATTTATTTATTTTAGTTATTTAATTATTTATTTTAATGAATTTATTTATCATCTACGCCTCTTGAATGTGTTATTACTAAGAATCTTGATCTAGTAAGGAGAAATAAATAAATAAATAAATTAATTAATTAATTAATTAATTTATTTATTTATTTATTTATTTTATTTTGCTTGATTTTGTTTTCTTTTTCCGTCCTTCTCTCTTGCTTTGTTTTGTTTTATTCTCTTTTTCCTTTTTTTTTTCTTCCCTTTGTTGCATTAAGATAGCCATAATTAATTGAATGTATAAAAAGAGACGAATAAAGATGATTAATACAATATGCTGTGTATGTGTATATGTATATTATGTACTTTTATTCCTTCTTTTCCTTCCCTTTTCCTTTTCTTATTTATTTATTTATTTATTTATTTATTTATTTATTTATTTATTTATTAATTTATTTATAGATACAAAGAGTCTTATTTAATGCAACAATGGTAGAGGAGGATAGAGAACAAGTACAAGAATTATTGAATGAAGCTCGTCATAACTTAACATTTACAGATAATATTTATCAATTCAATGCAGATACATTCAGTGATGTAAGAAAAGCTCCTGCTGCTGCTGCTGCTGCTGCCTTTGCTGCTGCTGTTGCTGTTGCTGCTGCTCGTGTTGGTGTTGTTGCTTTTGCTTGTGGTGGGGGTGCTGCTGTTGTTGCTGCTGCTGCTGCATTCCTTTGTGACATACACACAGACAGGGAGGCAGACAGACAGATTTGCTGTTCTTCCTCTCGCCTTCTACGTTGTGTATTTCTTGTATAATAGTAATAATATATGACAAAGGTACTACTTTATTAATATATGTATGTATATAATATGTATATGAATATATTCAGGGATTCGCGAAGAGTTATGTTCATGATTTAAGAAGAGAAGGAATAAGTAAACCGCGTAAATTATCGCGGTTAACGAGTCTTGCTGCTCGTAGAAAGTCGCGTTTATTTGGCGTCGTAGACAGCTTGGTAAGGAAGAAAAATAGGAAAAAAACCCAGGGGATATAGACAGAAAAATATAGGAAAGCTGAATAAAATGAATGAATTCATGAATATAAATACTACAAATAAATAAATAAAGTAAAATTACATATTTTAATATATAAATAAGCAAAAGTTATATGTAAAAAGTATTTAAACGCAAGTTTCCACTTTTTTTTCTTCTTGCTTTTGTATTGTTGGGGTGTACG